CAGTTAGTGAGGCGAGCTGAAAATGAGAGGTCCTGTACAAATCGTCAGCTTTTCCTGCTTCCTGTTTTCTGTTACCTTTGTGCAAGGTCAAGGTGAGTTTATTAATTTTCATATGTAGAATGTTATACATATTATATGCACTTCCAACACTTTTTTCTGACCTTAAGTGGTTTGAGAAGGTGTTGACTAGTTCATCTTTTTGTGCTTTTATTTGTGCTTCTCAGAATGTCTTGGAGAGGACATTACATATGAAAACACACAACCAGTTGTAAATGTTTCATACGCTGATGGTGAAACAGTAAACGTGAACTGCATGACAGGTTATATCGGCTTTTATAAGTTAAAGTGTAAAAATGGGCAATGGCTGACGGTAATTGCACGAAGATGCTCAAGTAAGATAATTGCCAATATGACTACATCATTTTTTTGTTATTAAATTAAAACTGAGCAGATTTGCATTCATCACAGTAACACTTGCTTGATTTCTGTAGAGAAAAAATGTGGTCACCCAGAGGAAACACCAAATGGTTATTTTAAACTTATAGAGGGGAGAGATTATACTTATGGAGCAACAGTGGAGTATACTTGCAAGACAGGGTAAATGTGCTTTATGCACAGCGTTTAATTTACTTCCCTCTGTTGTCTTTGTGAATTCAGTTAAAATATGTCCTCTTCAACTTGACACTGCTTCTACTTAAAAACTTTGTGTTTGTAGGTACGAAATGACAAGCAGAATCAATCGGCGTCACTGTAGAATCAAAGGGTGGGATAATTCTGTCCCTGTCTGTGAGGGTAGGCTTTCTTGAAAGTCTGTTTGCACTGTTGTCATTTGATTTATTAAGGTGCTGTAAGCGATTTTTATAGCATGGTACATGAAAAACGATTCTAATCTCTGAATGATACCACTGAAATATTTCTGGCCAGCTCTGTAACAGCCTCCATGTAAAACAAAAACATTGTTTTGCCAACCAGAAGGCTTTTGAGGCGCTTTCTGCCTGTCAGTCATTTTGCGCATTCACAGCAGGCACTCCACATTTTGTTGGAAATCGTACACTGCGAGTGTGATAGATCAACTTGAAGCACTTTGCATGAGTTTGGACAATGCAAAATGTTCACGAACAATGGACAATGAGCATTGCTACTGCTTCTTTCACGATCAAGTGAGACGAAAGCTCCAAAGCATTTGAAAACAGATGCTGAGCTTGATTTGCTCCTGCTTAACACCACAGGTAAACATAGCCTACCTTGGTTGCGCCAAAAAAAAGGTGGGGGTTGAAGAATTAGAGGGGCATGTCTAAATCGGTGACAAAAGAGCAGCTAAGGTCACTTACAGCACCACAAGGGTTGCCAGGTTTCCCAAAGCACAGCGTAGAACGTTAGCAACATGCTGGTTGGATTTAGGGGACCTTTACACAATACCGTTTCCAACTAAAAACTGAAAACCTTTTATGCGTTTTGGCAATTCATTTACACAACAACAACGTTTTGGGGGCACAAACGAGATGTCTTTAGAGAAGTGCTAAAATGGAAATTTGTGTGCTAAATGAGCACCTTCCGCACTATACATTTTTTTTTTTTTTTCAAAGTTGTAAATTAAACAAATATTACTGGAGAATGTTTTCAGAGAAAATACTACATAAGTCTTTCTACATTCACGTTAAATTCAGTGGGTTACTTGCTTTTCTTTGTATTAACTCAGAAAATTACTAGCAATTTCTGAGTGATTTTTTTTTCTACACAACTGTTCTAGTATGATCTCTCTTCCCCATCTTCATTCTCTTCATCTTCCAGTGGCAGGTTCAGTAGCCTTGCGTGTAGCAGGACAGTCACATTTTGCATGGTGGAAGTTACAAGAAGCAAATGCACTTTGCTTAGACCTCTATTTAACAGTGGTTCTATATATATATATATATATATATTAGTGGTCTATAGACGTATTCTGTAGGTCGCTGCAATGCCGTAGTGCAAAATGTTCGTGTTGGGGAGATAAACATCAGAAGAAATCAGTAAAAAATTGGGACCTGACAGCTTCCGTTAACGATGTGCTTGAGTTGTACTTAATAGTGAGCGGTCTACATGCTGGTTTGGGAAACAGGCATTGCTCCAATGTTAAAATAACATTTCATGGAGAGCGATTTATCCCAACCTAAATCAGTTTATTTATTTCACAGAGGTGAGATGCCCTGTGATTCACACAGATGGGGAGGTGACTGCATCGGGCAACACAAAGGAAGGAACTTATGGCGATGTTATTCACTTTGAGTGTGTATCTTCTGACAAAAAGCTAGACGGAAATAGTGTCATTTATTGTACGGAGAACAGCGTTTGGAGCGGGCCTGTTCCACAATGCATAGGTTAATACCACAGTTTCTTGATTTATTAAAGGGTCAGTTGAAATGCTCAGAACCTAACATAACTAATCCTGTAAACATCATGTATAGCATGAATACAGTCCGAACATACACAAAGCAGTTGGTCAGATGGATAGTATGTCTGAATATGCAGTATTCATAAAACAGCAAGCAAAATTTTATTACAGTTTGACAACTCTTTTTGACATACTTGACATTTATTTAAACTTAGCTTTGCATTATTATGTCTTTACAGTAACTTGTCAGCTTGAGGTAACCGAACCTGAAATAAGAACCATTCCATGGGGAAAAACAGTTTTCAAAGCTGGAGAAACGGTGGGGATGATCTGTTCTGGCAAAAACCGGGCCTTTAATAAACAGGAAACATTTACTTGCACAAACAATGGGAAGTGGGATTACAAGCCTACTTGTGAGGGTAAGATTGCAGAGAAACACTTCAGGATTTACTGCTGACTTCATTGTGTGTTATCAAAAGCATGTGAATCATGTTTCAGAGAGTAGATGTGAAGTTCCACTTAACCAGCACGTGTATCTCCCAAAATATTACTTTAGTGGAGATCTGAATTTGGGAGCAAAGAGATCGTACAGTTGTGAGTCTGGATATCGTGAAACAGCAGCAGAGGCCACATGTACACGAGACGGATGGACACCGAAACCACTGTGTACTGGTATGTTCTGTCCTGGAGTGTTAACATCTTCACAAAGACATATAATCTAAATTCTATGATTATGTGGATGTTTGTTTTCTAGAAATTATGTGTGACCCACCAACAATCCCAAATGCAAAGATTGTGGGAAGTCAAAAATCAAATTACAAAATCGGTTCAAGAATAGAATATAAATGTCGTCCTGGATTTGAACCAGAGGAGCCTGTACAAATCACCTGTGATTCCCAGGGCCAGTGGACAGGCACACGGCAATGCAGTGGTATGGTACAGCTTGATTTTAGTTTATTGCATCATAAATCTCTATAAATACTTTTCATTTGTAAGATGCAACATACATTCTGCCTGAATGATCCATGTTTCAAGTCATAGTTAAATTATTGGTTTATGTGTGCAACTATGACAACACATCAATTGAATTTTATATTAACGTAATACTAATACAACTTAGTATTGTTAATGTATTGTTGAGTATTCAAAAATAAATTATCTTCTTGTACACAGATGGTACCTGTCAGGAGCAAGAACTCAAAAATATAGAAATTCTATTTGGATATCCGAGCACCGCTTTACCTTATAAACCTGGACATATCTTAGTTTTTCGATGCACTGATGACAACATGAGGTTTTACGGCCAACGTGCAATTGAATGCCTGCCAGATGGGAGGTGGAATTACCCATATCCACAATGTGGAGGTACAGACATATTCCACCAACTTTCTGTTGATTCTATTATGTGTTATACAGTTCTATAAATCAGAATCAAAATATTAATCATATTTAATAATTGACTACCATCAACATTAACATCTTACATTGAACTAATTGTATCTTGTATATATTTTGCGTCCTCTAGGAAAGGTTCAGTGCTCCCAACCAACAAAGAACTTGCAGTTTGTGACACTGTCAGATGAGAAAACTGAATACAGCAACTTTGAGATACTGACATACACGTGCAATAAACCGTACAATGAAATTCCAAGAGGAGTTTTGATGTGTCAAAATGGAAAATGGAATGAAACGTTTGACTGCAAAAGTGAGTCACCAAGAAATGTTGCATTCATATTCCATTCAGTTTAATCCCAGTTTTGAGTTATTGCAGAAAGATCTGAGACACAGAAACATTCACACAGAAACACGTTATAGGAAAATTGCCTACTTCCCTCTTCTGAAATTGTAATTACGAGTTTGTCACGTTCAAGTGCTTTGTTGTCGGAAAGAACAGGAATCATGGCCCGTTCATGAATTCATCCTTGCCTGTTCCTTGGGGAAATCTCATAAAAGGTATAAAATATATTTAGTCAATATCCAACAGGTTTTGAATAAAATGTAGCATTCCATTCATTGGTAACCATATAAACATTCACTGCACTGTAGATATTAAGCTTGCTGACGATTCTGCAATTTCGGTCAAATAAATGCTATTTTCGCTTTGTTCGATACATAATGGCAAGATAAAGCAATGTAGATGCTGTGGGGAAAACAAATAAAACTTTACAATACTAAAGCTATGTTTCTCCCCTCTGCCATGTTTCAAATTTGACCTGGAAACTAGGGTATCAAAATTGTCTCCCAGTCTCCCAGTTGTAAATACGACTTGAGTGGCCATTCATGTACAATTTTGGATTAGGAAACTTTTTTTTTTTTTTTTTATAATTTCAAAAGCATTTGAAAGCAGCATTAATCCTACATTGTAGGCTATTTCCTGATGTGAGAACCCTAATGTATGGCAGTATATTGAGTCTGTGCATTAGCTCTTAAAGTGACAACAGCCTAATATACCTGCTGCTGTCTGTCATTTAATGGTAATTAAACAACCGAGAACAACAAGAAAATCACCCACAGCTCTTGGCTGAATAACTTTTGTAGCATTAACAAAGATTATATATTGAATTTGTAGAGTGAAGACTATACAGTGTTATTTTATATTTGATTATTCGATTTCTGTACCTGAATACTACTATGAGACAGACTTAAAAACTTATAACACTGTTTATTTCATTTGTACGGTACCTTTGTTTTGTATTTATTTGTGCTACTGCTTGTAATTTGTTTATTTGTATTGAAACTGGACATGATAACTGAAACATTAGAATAATTTATTAGAACATGAGGTTACATGAGTCAACAAAATTAAAACTTTTTTTTTTTTTGGTGGCGGGACCAATGAAAATTTTGACGAGTCAACTTTGATGTGCCCCACCGGGCCAGTAGAAACTATCCTTTGCATTGAGCCCTGCTCTGTCTAATTTAAAACATGGAGAATGCTAGATCTAACAAGCCAAAACAACTGATGAAAATAACCATCGTCTTTACCCTTCCAGTAAAAAATTGTGCTTGAAACATCAATGACAGCTTTAACTTGTCAATGCTCATAAGTGACCATGTTGGGTGGGATAATTAGCTGCACCTCAAGTGGTTCTTTGCCTCCATGCTGTGCATTAAAATTGTGTAATGCATACCTATAGCCATGGTGTCACGATCTGTGCTGGGAGGAGCGCGGAACGAGGAACAAGGAGACTTAGAGTACATAAACAGTCTTTAATCCTTGGAAACACAGGGGAATTACACAACATCCAACGAGTAGAACCGACAAAGGAAGACTGAACAAACAGGAACTTAAATACAAGAGATAATTACTCAACACAGGTGTCAGGAATCATAATCAAACTAAACGAGGACAGGAACATGACCAAATAAGGAAAAACAGGAACAGAAACAGGGGCAAAACACGACACAGAACAGTCCAGAATCC